TGCTCAGACCATTCCAAAAAACGTGCTGGGCGACCCAACGGCTTGATTTATTTTAATTGTCTTGTAAACAACAAACCGATCAGAGCGTTTATTGATACGGGAGCCGAAATAACCTGTATTTCTAAAAACTTGTTTGATCAATTAAAATTACAAATAATTAAAAATTCAATCATTAATATCCGTCAACTTGATAATTTGACACAGTCATTGGGTCGCGTAAAAATCAATCTACAGATCGGGAGAATTACTCGATGTGTCGAAGCCCACGTGGTTAGAAATTTGACTACTAATCTCTTGTTAGGTCTCGACAATAGCCAACTTTTCGATCTCAACCTTGATTTAAATAATAATTGCTTAAAACAACGTGATAAAATTGTCAACAATGTGCAAAACTCGTCAAATCAACCATGTCAATCCGTTAATAGAAATCAACAAGAATATCATATCAATCAAAATTTGAATGGAAACCAACGTCGCCGTATTCGTGAAATGATCAACCGATATGGTGATGTTTTTGCTCAATCAAAAAGTGATGTTGGATACATCAATCACCAGCATCATAGGATAGACCTCTCCAACGAAATGCCGATATTCTTGAAGCCTTATCGAACGTCACCACGAGAACAAAAAATCATAGATGAAACGGTCCACAACTTGTTGCAACAAAAGTTGATCAGACCATCTACATCACCATATTCCTTTCCGGTGACATTGGCTGAAAAGAAAGGAGAAGGAAAAACAAGAATGTGCATCGATTATCGAAAGTTGAATGACGTCACCATAACCGACAAGCAACCGATCCCGATAATTGATGATATCATTGATAAACTGTATGGAAAGAAATATTTCACAAAATTTGATATTGCAAATGGTTATTGGCACGTACCCATTGCACATGAAGATATCCCAAAAACGGCTTTCTCTACACATAACCAACACTTGGAGTGGCTGGTTATGCCATTTGGCCTCAAAAATGCCCCAGCGACATTCCAAAGAGCAATTAGGGGTGTCATTATGAAACATCAACTGAAAAATGTAGAGAATTACTTCGATGATATCATAGTATTTAGTGATGATTTTGAACAACACCTTGTCGATATCAAGAAAGTATTAGAAGCTTGTGAAAAAGAAAATATCAAATTGAAACCCAGTAAATGTCATTTTGCTGAGGAGAAAATCGAATATCTTGGCCACTGTATATCATTCAATTCAGTCCAACCAAGTAAAGACAATATTCGATCAATTGAAAATTTTCCAGTTCCGTGCGACATCAAAGAACTACAACGATTCTTAGGAATGGAAATCAAAATACATTCCTATCATGCCGTAACGGAAACCACTAACAAAGATTCCCTAATCATGCCGTATTACATGAAATCAAAATTGTTTAACAAAATATCCCATTCTGAATTTTTCAATTGGTCAAAATCATCTGTGCCCTTAGGAAGTGGTCAATTTTCCAGGTGAAGCTGATTAATTGTAGCAAAACTTTAATATGATCATATATATCAAATATATCAACAATCATCTACTGTGATATAAACAAAACATCCAGATGGTGAGAAGAATTGCCTGTAGCCTATTATTCATAGTTAAATTTTTATAACGAAACTCGACGATTATCGTCAAGTGATGAATTCAATTATGTTTAACACATGCATACAAAAAAAACACAAAGGAAGTTATGATGACGACAATGATGATTATGGATGATAAATCTATGTATTCACTGTAGCTGTGATTATAGATATTGGTGCACATAAGATCATACGATGTATATATACCCTCCTCTTTCACTCCTTTCATTTTATCATCATCAACATCATTATCAACGACAATGATTTCTGGGATTTTTCCAGATTTTATGTTTATGTAAGCAGCAACAAATCAATCAATCAATTACATCACGTTAATAATGCAAACAATAATAATGGCAACCCTTCATTGCAATTATTCAAACAAACAAACAACAAGAAAGAGAGCAACCAATGTAATAGAGAATGGAAATAACTTGAAAAAACCCTCCTCTTTCACTCCTTTCATTTTATCATTCAACATCATTATCAACATACAATTATAATCATCGTCATTCAAGTGCAACCAAAAAAAAATTATGATGACGTGCATGATGCAATCATCATTGGTACCCTTACTCATTTTTTTTTTTTTTTTATCATTAATTTTAAAAGATTATAAAAAAAATTGTCAAAAACCTAGATCATCATCCTAGATCATTTAAATTGAATACATATCATCAAAACAGTGATCGTCTCAATCAATAAGATTTAAATGATATAACATAATAAGATATTAAATAACAAAAAAATATCCAATATTGACAATCATCATCATCGTCATTAAATATCATCATCAAGGAAGTAAAAAAAATCATTTCAACAATGTATCGAAAGTTTTTCTTTTTTTATATTCTTGGAATTTTAATCTTTGTATATTGGTTTCCATTTACAAAGTGGATCAACAAGTGGGAATATATAATCATCATCATCAGCATATGTGTACATCATGCATCATACACACACAAAAAAAAAATAAAGATTATACAAATACAAACACCCTCACTATTGATATAATGATTATAAGTATTTTCGCAAATAAATTCAATGCAATTGAAAGATAACCTAGTTATTATAAGAATTAATAACAAGTTTGATCATTATCAAACAAAAAAAAAATTAGAAAAAAATGGGGTAGTCAAGCCATCATTCTGAAATTAATTACAAGAGAATGTAGAAAAAAAAATCTGTATGTCAATCTTTCATCATCATCGTCATCATTTTTGATAAACATCGAAACAAAAAAAAAAACCACCACATCATCATCATCATCATCATTCAAAAGATAAGGATTTAACCTGATTTCATTCTATATATCAAAGTTGATGATAATGATTCGTCCATCCCAATACGCACACACACACACACAAAAAAAGTCATATGCTGAAATCATAATCGATTGATCGTTGGCGAATGTAATCAACTGACTTATTCAATTCAATTCGACATATATATATATTTGATGATGATGACTAAGTCAAGACAAGTGTAAGAAAATGAGAGAAAAAAACCCTCATTTAAAAAAGAAAAATGTTTCAATAACAAAACAAAGAAAAAAAAAATTGAATAAATAAACTTTTTCACTGTAATTTTTTTTTTTCTTTTCTCCACCCCACAAATTTTTTTTTTTTATTTTGAATAATCAGGGTAGCAAAAATAAAAACAAGTTACGAAAGTACCGTTTACACATAGTGCAAAGCACGCACACACAGACATTTTTTACATTGAAAACTATTCAGGATATTTTTTTTTTTTTTTTTTTTTTTTTGGGAGCCAATCTATTTGACTTTGGCGTTTGTTTTTATTCACACAATTCGATTCGTTTGGTTAGCTTCCAAGTTAGAAAAAAAAAGAAAGAATGAATGAATGAATGAAAAATAAAAATGGTTGACCTCAATTTTTTTTCTTTTATCATGGCATTCATACCCTAAAAACCGAAATTGCATACAGACAAACATACACACACACACACATTGCACATAGACAAATACAGAGAAAAGCTGCTGCATCACATATACGAATATAATAATCATCATCATCATCATTATTACGCCATGAATGACCAAAACAAACTTGGGTTGTGTATAAACACCGGTTTTTGTGTACCCTGTGCGATTGAGGACACACACACACACAAACAACCACCACCATTATCAATATAATACTCTCCATATATTATATATATATATATATATCGTTCAAGAGAACGACAAACACCACTGGCATACAATTATTTATTTAGATATACTCTCTATACATACAAAATCTATGTATGTTATGATGATCATCATCATCATCATTCCTGACTATGATAATCATAGTGGTGGTGGTGGTGGTAATGTAATGATGGTGTCCAAAAATTAGTCCATGTGTCAAGGTAATTGTGTGACATATATATTTATACGGAGAAAAAAAAGAACGACAAAAAAAAATAACATTGATTTAGGATCAAATTTTGAATTTTTTTTTTTTTTCTTTTCGATAATATATCCACAGTTATCTATTGATAATTCATTGGAAAAACAATAAAAAAGTATGGGTATAGTGTATATAACTGAATAATCCAAACATCAACATTGGTCAGTGGCGCTAATTTTTTTGTGAGCGGAATCAATAAAAACCAAAAACCAAAACCAAAAAAAAAAAAGATTTGATCAGAAAAAAGGTCGATTAGATGAATAACCACCATGACCATCATCATCATGATGATTATCACTACCGATCATAACCGTCGTCGATAACCAGTAACAACAAGATTTTTCTTTCTTTTTTTTTTTCTTCTTGATGACCTCAATAATAATGTTGATGATGATGATACCCGTCGACCTGAAATAAAAAAAAGGAATCTAGGTAAAAGAGCATCGGGTTAGTAGAGTAGAGTATAGAGTACCCAACAGCAGCAGCAAGCAGTGTGTGTGTGTTTTTTATCTTATCTTATTGCCATATACACAATTAGCAAAAAAAAAAGAAAAGAGATTTGCCATCATTCACCATATATGATGATGATGATGATGACGATGGTTAAGTTTTTTTTTCTTTTTTTCTCGAATGATATAATCAGAAAAAAAATAAAGTACAAGAAAAAATCAATAAATTATTTGCCCTTTAAAGACATCTATCTATCTATATCTGCATGTTGCACATATAGAGACAAAAATAAATCAGGTATATATATAATATATAAACAACAATCGAACCAGAAATTGAAATTGGACAGAATTTCAATGCAAAAAATGATGATAACAAAAAATCAAGGAAAAAGGATTCATACGATGATTTCCTTATAATTTGAATAATTTGTATGTTTGACAAAATAAAAAATATTGTCATCATTTTTTTCAAAAAAAAAAAAAAACGAAGGTCACCCAATTACACACATGAATATTTTGAATTTCAATGAAATGAATTTTTTTTTCTTATAGACAGATAAAAAGCGTGATGATGATGATGATGATGATGATGAATGACGTTGATTGAAAATGTCTAAAATATCTAATTTTTGTGTGGATTTGATAATAATGGTCTTTTTCCGATATGACAAATATAAAAAATTAGTAATTATGATATAAATATTTTTAAAAGGCTTTTCTACAAGGAAATAAAATCAGAATCACATACCAATTTTTTCTTCGGTCATCATTGTATCATCATCACCAGGTGATAACATAGATTTAAGTATTGGTAACCTTGTTGGACGTGTTATTGTTTGATTATCAATATCCGTATCGGTATCCGCATCGGCAGTTATCGTTGTCGTCGTCGTCGTTGTTGTTGCATCATTACTTTCATCTTCATTCTTATTAATTGAACATTCAATAGTTCCATTGACTTTTTTTCTTACATCATCACCATCATCAACAATATCATCAATTTCAATCTCAACATTTTCATCATCTTCTTCATCATCATTATCATCATGATTATTATGGTTATTATTACGATGACCATGATTGATTCCATTTTCTAATGATAATGAATTATCATCAATAACCAATGATTTACCGTTTATTGAATATTTTTGATCTTCATCATCATCATCATCATCAGCATTGTTATGATGATGATCATCATCGACATTATGATTTTCATTATTTTCTTTACAACATTCATCATCATCATCAATATTATTTCGATAATTCGATCGACAACCATTAGTTGCTGTACCACCATCAGTAGTCATGACAAGATTATCCTGCAATGAATGTGATGAATTTGAATCATCATTTTGAATGGAATTTAAATTTGAATCATTTTTGGAGATATTTACTAATGATGATGATGATGATGATGAGGTAGCTGCAGCTTGTAAAACAGCTGTTGCATTTTTTGCCTGTTCATACAATGATGATCGATTTTTTTGACCATTACTTTTACCATTATTAGCCATTTCAGCTAATGCAGCCGATATTGTTAGAATAGCTGCTGCTGATGGTGATAATGATGATACATTTATTGATTCAATATCTCTTTGATTATATAATGGTTGTTGTTTAGTTGTCGTTGAACAGGAAGAGGTGTTTGTCGTTGTTGTTGTTGGTGATAATGATAATGATGATGATGATGCTGATGATGATGAACCGCATGGTGATGTCGGTATATGCATCATATGTGCATGATGGAAATTATTGTTATGAATATTATTCGTTTTCGTCGTTGTAGTTGGTGATGATTTCGATGTTGAACTTGGTGATGTTGATAATGATTGTGTTGTATCCACTCTTGGTGGTGTTGTACGTTTATTATCGGAATATGATAATTTTAATGAAGATGGTGATTTTCTTCCATGATAACCATTTGTTAATTTATTTGTAGGCGATGACGACAATGATGATGGTGGTGATGATGATAATGATGATGATGATGAAAGATCGGATGATACATTTGTTAATGAAAGATTTACAGGTAATCCATGTTTAGCTTGATAATATTGTGTATATAAATCTTTTAATAAATCTTTACTATCCAATTCTTGTGAAAATTCTGGACGTAAAAAATTTTTACATGTACAAATTTCCATTAAATCATCATTACGACGTTCAAGACATTCACGAATGCCTTCCAATAAACGTATCAAATGTTCATTTGTGGCTAATGTTTCACGAAAATAATCATTTGTTCGTCGTAATCGTATCAATTCTAATCGTGTATCATCCAAACGTTGATGACCAATGTTGATACCATTATTATTATTGTTTGATGCAGATGATGATTGATTACCATTTAACATTGAATTATTATTGGCTGAAATTGTAGCTGAATTTATGGCTAATGCAGATGCATTTGTAGCCGGTTTCTGTTGAAGGGTCATCATATCGATATTTCCGATACTTGACATCTATTATTGTATCATAATTGGCATTTAAATTAGAATATAATATTAGTCCATAATTATGATGATGATTCGTGTACAAAGTTTCACTTTTTTTTCATTGGAAATTCAATCACAATTTAAACACACACACACAAACACACATGAAAAAATACCGAACAGATTAAGAGAATCAAGAAAAAAGTTCATGTCACGAGTCTTGAACCAATCTAGTCATGAGCAGCACCACCAAAAAGTCATAAGAAATAAAATCTGGGTTAGTAGGCATTTGATGATAACAGACGTTTTAATCGTTGTTTTTCATTACATTTCATAAACATACACACACACACACTCAATTGGTTGACATAGTTATTTGAATGGATGAAATTTTCAAAAAAAAAAAAAAAAAAAAATGACCAAGGCAACAACAATTCGAAAAATCTATTGTTGAATGTTTTCGATTTTCATGTGATTTTCATGTGTTTTGATTGAATTAATGTGTCTGTGGGTTCCAATCACATTCGAATTTCGAATTTCATTGGTCATCTTAGTTTTGTTGTTGATGAATATGAAACGCCGAATTTGGGAGACGAAAAAAAAATTTTTTTTTTTTTTGACAATCTCCACATTCAAATCGATCAACAACAACAATAACAAAACAAAACAAAAACATTCGATTCGAATTTTTTCAACGATAAATAAATGATGATGATGATGATGGTGAGTTACTGGAGATTATTAGTGCATTCACAATGTACGATTTTTTTTTTTGAATATTGTTCTTGAAATTCTTGATATGTGCAACACGTGTTTATTGGAGTGTGAAAATTAACAAAAAAAAAAAAACAATGCAGATCATGAATATGCACTGAACGATTTTGATCAACAAAAAAAAATCGATGAATGAAAAAAAAACAAGAAATCAATTTTTACATTAACAAAAAAAAAAAAAAAAAAATTTTAAATGAAACGGAAAATTCAAAATACGGAACAATAAAATTCTTATAACAAGAAAAAAAGAATTTCATTTCCTATACACACACATAGAACACACATGTACAAAGGGAGTAACAAATCGTATGGCAGCCATACACACACTGACGATTGAATGATTTTTTCTTTTTTATTTTTTTTTTGTATATTAACAACAACACGCATAACCAAAGAATCGTTGTCGTTGTTGTTGTAAAAATATTGTCGGCATCAACGGCGTCTGTGTATTGTGTGTTATGTTTGTATGTGTGCATGTATAAAACGTGAGTGTATTTTGTTTTGTGGTTGATAAAATCGTCAGTCAGTCAGTCAGATTTCTCTTCTTGCATCAAAAAAAAAAAAAAAAAAAATATTTCCTCCTAGCGGTATTCACATTTCATTCACATTATTATTATTATTATTGGTAACGGATCGCACACACACACACACACACATCATCGTCATCAGAAGAGAAAAGTCTCGACATGTTGCAACATGTAAACGCCAAAAAAATTACGGACACACCGACAACAACCTAACAGGGTAACGTTACGGAAACGAATAAATGGCACCATATAAAACAGAGTGAACACACACAAACTACACTGAAATGACTTAGAAATTTTTTTTTTGGCCTATCTATCTATTTAATCGTGAAAAGAAAAATTTTTTTTCTATCAGTCAAGTTTTCTATAACTCAGGTCTCTCTTTCATCATTGGCCATATTCAAAAAGAAAAAAGAAAAAGAAGAAAAACAAGAGATCCAGGCAGCAACATTGGCTCCAAAGTGCATATGGTATTTTTAAAGAAATAAAGAGAAAAAAAAATAGGGGAAAGCGGTATATGTGCAATGCTACCGTTACACACTCTCGATCTTTTATGCTTTTTTGCCAATTGTTGTTGTAGTTGGGTGTATGTATATGTGACTCTCACGCCAGAAATATAAAAATACCGATTGTAAGAGACAAATGAATGATCTGTGTGTGTGTGTGTGTGTGTCAGTATATGGATTCATTGAGAGATGAATTATTTTAGACTATAGCCAGACAAAGAAACCATACATAATACCCGTTGCTGAGGATCGACCGAATTTCTATCAAATGAATGAATGAAGAGAGAGAGAGAAAGAATTGTGTCACTCTCAAGATCCACATTTTATCGGTGGTAGTAGTGGTAGCATATTGTTGGAATGTATGACGCCGTGTATGCAATTTTTTTTCTGATAATTGGCGCCCATGCAATGTAGGTCCCAATCATTGTGTGTGTGTGTGTGTGTGTGTGGGTTGGTTTTTTTTCAAAACATAAAATTTTCTTCTCATAAAATTGGCGCGTAAAACAGCCGTTTATGTAACAGGCAATCAGGTTGCATCAAATCATTGACGATGCAATAAATCTAACCCGTTTTTTTCTCTTTTTTTTTCTTCATCACCATTATCGAATCTATGCAATACGCATGAATGCCCCCGTTAACAGTTGACGGCATTCACATGATCATGATGATGATGATTGAATCCAGGTTCCAGGCCATTCAATTTGGAAAAATATTACTGACCAATAATAATTGTGTGTGTGTGTGTAAAATAATGCCTACTCCTAGATCCCCTGTTGCATGTTAATTTGTTGTTGTGAAAAAAAAGTTAGTGCATGGATGCTGTTTGTAACACAAGGAAACAACATAATGAATGAATCAAAATGAGGTCACATTTAAAAAAAATACAGAAACAAAAAAAAGGTTTCAAAAAAAGTAGCAGCAGCAACAGTAAATAAATGAAGAAAATTGGCTGCATCTCTCTCTCTCTTCTTCTCTATATCGCTCCCTCTCATATTTGAATGGATAAATGAATGGATCTGTTCAATGTAGATAAGTAAGAGAACAGCGGAAATACAAACGACAAAAAAAAGACAATGTTCAGTGTAATCAACAGAAAAAAAGAAGACGAAGAACAAGAAGGAACAAAAAAAATGAAGAGTTTTCCGGTTTGTGTCTGTGTGTGTGTGTGTGTGTGTGTGTGTGTGTGTGTGTGTGTGACGGCCGATTGATAGAGAAAAAAAAATCAATTTTCCCTCAAAAAAAAGAAAAAAAGAAAACACTAAGAATCATCATTAGCATTGTAACAATGGTGATGATGAAACAGGTGCCATGGAAAAAAATGATCCTAAAATTCTATGAAAAAATAAAAATTATATAATCTTTTGATTGTTTTTCAGTAAACTTATTACTTGATTGTTTTCAAATTCAATATAGCCTGTTGCATTCAATAGTAATTTGAATGGTAAATGAGATACATAGAGAGAGAGAATCGAACTATAAAACAGTTCCTGGGCGTCATCCTTTATGTCATAATGATGAGGATGATGATCATCATCATCATGGTATGAAGATTATATCAAAAGTATATACATAGCCTACATTCATCGTTTCATGATGAAGTTTTTTTTTTTGTTCGCGATGGATTGTCGCGCATGTATTTTAATTTCAAATAATTCAGTAATGATAATAATAATAATGAAAGGAAAATTCAGTGCATCCAGATGCATTTAAATATGTGTGTGACTATGGTGATCAAAAGTGCATGACGCCCAGTGTGTTTAAATAAATCGGGTATGCAAAAAAACGATGATTACACACACACACAAACACAATTGCATATGATGATGATGATGATAAGAATGATTTGAAAAATGAAAAAATAAATTTTTTTTAATGCTTTAAATGGATCCTAAACCCTCAACCGGAACCAAACATTGCAGAATATTGTCTAACGATTATGCCATATGGTATTTGGAATATTCCTAGCTCGATTGGAGTGAGTGATTGAAATTGACATGCAAACAACATTTTTTCATATATGTGTGTGTCAATGTGTGTAATGTATCCAAATATGGTTTATGATGATTTTTCACACAATTCTTGTGTATGTGTGTGTGTGAAAACACCCAAACGACATCACACGACATTACATCGATGTTGATCTAGAATTTGAGTTAAATTCAATCTGCTCAATCCGTTAAAACAGAAATCGAGGGCGTCATCATCATCATCATCATCATATACCCAAAGATTCAAATATTGAACAGCATGATGAGAAAAACAACATAACATAACATAACAAAAAAATTAACATCTTGGCATCACCATAGTATCCACATCATGTATAACATATGTGGCACCAATAACCCAAAATGTGTGTGTGTGTGTGTGTGTGTGTAGATTATATGAATACATTTCCTGGATTTGAATTCGATAATTTTTTTTTCTTTTCCATTGATACCACCAAATAATAGAATGATTGAACAGAAAAAAGGAATAAATTTCACTACCGGTTTCCGTTTTATCCATAGAAAAAAAAATCGCTAGGATTTTAGTGCATAATTTTGTTTGTTTTTTCCTTCACATTTTCATCGAAAAATTCATTAAATAATCAAAAGCATTTCCCTGCTGCAGCTGCTACTGCTACTGCTACTGTTTGTTCTACCCTATTATCCAAATGAAAAAAAAAAATGAGGAAAAATGTCGTCGTCGTCGTCGCCGTTATTACCCAGAAAAAGAATGAGAATGAGAGAGAGAAAAAAAAAAAAAGTAAATATCACACATACATGTACACACAGGATGTTGCAATAATTCTCGATGAATAATCAAAATTCAAATGAAAATTGGGTAGGAAAAGAAAAAATCAAATCTATATATATTGAAGAATTGTTGTTGAATATTTTCATTTTTTCCAATGTAAAGGGTTGAAAAATTTCTCATTATAACTTGTTGATGATGATGATCATTATCTTTTGATATTTGTAATTCATTCATAACAGAGAAAAGAAAAAATTCTTGAGAATTCAGGCAAAAAAAAAAATTTTTTTTTATTTGAAATTTTCTCACACAAAACATGTCAATCAAACAGGTTGAATTATAGATTCATCTTTCTGGTGATCAACAGTTACCCTTCAGTAATATTATGACATTTTTTTTTTTGTGTGTTTGTACAAAAATTTTCTCAAGAAAAATAAAATGAACATTTACACTACATATGCATTCTACACGATTGTGAATTCCGATAATTCTCCATAATCAATCGACAACGTTTTATATTATCAATAATGATAATTATATCAGGAAAATTTAATAATTTATCTTCAAATTCAATAAAGACGGTAGTGGTGGTGAAATGTTCCCCATGATGGTGACAATCACAGTTTCCAATGAACAAAAAGCAGAAAATGAAAAAAAAAATTTCTGATCATTTTTGATTTACAGACATCAAGAGTAATAAATTATAAAATTATCTATTAAATGCAATCGAGTATCATGATGGTCATCATAATCATATCTGATAATCTAGATATAGATGTTTTCTTGTCTTTTTTCTATATTTATGAATCAATAAGTGGTAGCCATTTAGCCACTTGTTGAATGATTTCAGAAATATCACCCGGAAATATTCAAGGAATCTTTATCAATCATCATTAATTTTATAATTTCAGCAACAACAACAAAAGAAAAAATCTTGACGAAATGTCACCACCAGCATCATTTGTTTGAAACGAAAAATCAAAAAATCCATTCACACACACAGGTGCCTGTACACAGGTTGGTTCCAATAATGAATCCTTGAAAATTTTGATTGAATTCTAATTCACATACACACACACACACACACAATGAAATCAATCATTAAATCCAAAATGATTTGATAATATGACCTGATGATGTAATCAGGACAATTTTTTTTTGTGAAATATTGGACTTGACTAAAATAAAAAGATTTCTTGGCCCTTCTCATAAATAATGATAATGAACTGGTAGGATCGATTCAGATTGAGCTACCAATAATTGTGAAAGACAATCATTGAACGTTTTTTTTTTTTAACTTCAAATGAAAAAGAAGGTAATTGTCATTATTGAAGGTGAAATAAAATCGATTATTATTATTATTTAAGTTGTCGATGCTTATTTGTTCGTTTGTTCATTTATTCATCCACCTTTTATCTATTTGATATATAGCTATAGCTGTCCGTGTTTCAATTTACGCAATAAAGAAATCAACAATACAACCACCACCAACATCGTATAACGGTTTTAACTAGACGAATGGACTCTCTTCACTACAAAAATTTTGAGGCAGCCAATAATACATTGAACCGCATGCCGTGAGAGTGTGTGTGTGTGTTAAATAACCTCGCACAATTCATTGGCATTTTCATTGCTTGAAAAAAAAATTTGGATTTTGTCAGAAAGAACCGACGATGATGATGATGAAATCGATCCAAAAGAGAAAGAGATGTAAAAAGGATTCCAAGAAGAGTTCAATGATGACAGGATTTGATCATCATCATCATCATCATGATCAAGTTTGCAATCAAAAAAAAAAATAAATAAATAAATAAACTTTAGACAATAATAATACCTTTAGGGCGTCATCCAGGATAATGTTGAGCGTATTAATTTACAATCAACAACAACAACAAAAAAATTACTATTAAAAACTATAAATGGATAACTATTATGCAATATGAAACCATTTTCGGCAATCATGGCCAATAATGAAATTTTAATTTTAAATTTTTTGTTGTTGTTGTTTTCTGTTTTCTGTTTTTGTTCAAAAAAAAAAAAAATGAAAATTCAGTTTCAGTAATTGAATCTTTTATTTTCTGGTTTATTTTTTTCTACATTTTTCCCACATTCAAATTATATTCACCTTCCCCCCTCCCCTCCGTTGAATTTTATGGTTTATCAAAATTAAATTTATCAAATTTTCAATGGAAAACAAAATTATTTCCGTTTCGTTGGAATAAGTGTGTGGCTTCTTCAATTTTTTTGTTTGTTTGTTTGAATTATGCAAATTCAATATATTATATTATTACTGTAGACAATTTGTGTACATGCTCAATTCAACAAATAAATTCATCAAATTTTTTTTGATATCCATTGTCCATAATCTAGCCACTGGATGATTGGGGTAGTTTTTTTTCTGTAATTCAAATGATGATGACAAAGCAATCTTCATCATTTAATTTAATTACAATTTTTATTAATAACTTATATGTTAATGTAACGATTGTGTATGGATTGAATGGCGGCCATAAAAAACAATACGAATAGGAAAAAAAATCGGTTGTATTATTCCGTTTATGATCAGAATAATAATAATTGTAAATCATTTCCATAATGTTAATGATGATGATGATGATGATGATTGTTATTATGATGGAAGGTGGTCAAAAATCATGTCTGTCCATTAACATTTGTTCGTCCATTATAATCATAATCATAATCATGATGATGATGATGAAATATTTTCAGGTGAATGAACAAGTGTTTTAGATGCAAATCTTGAAAAGATATCTTTGATTCATCGACAACAGAGTCAATAATAATAAGTGAACAAAAAAAAGATGAGTATTGAAAAGGTAAAAAAAAGAGCCTTTGTGTATATGCATGTTAGTGTGGTGTTTCAAGGAAAATGTCAATCGGAGGTGGAATGGCAACAAGGAAACGCCTATTGATGAGATTTTGGATTGATATGACAACGGTTGTTACATTCAATGCATCCTTTAGCTGCCATTCATTTTTTTTGAGATTGGTTACACGTGCATTCATCATAATATACAGGGCCGGTCACGAAAGATGATTTTTTTTTTACTCCCCCATCCCTCTCTCACATCATTTTGAATCATTGATGATGATGATGATGAGGGAAAAAATGGAAAAAAAGAGGTTTAATGTCCGTTAAGTAGGACGAGGTTGCACGAGTTGATTGTTGGTGGTGGCGGTGGCGGTGGTGAGTACAACAATCATACACACACACACACACAGAAACATGCACACACGGAACAATCTCAAAAACGATGCTGATGATAATAGATAATAATAAAATAAAAAAAGAGAAAGGAATGGGAAAAAAAGAGAACAAGACCCACATGCACGATTTGGAACTTTCTTTATTGGAATACAGAAGATTATATCATCATAGATTGATCGATTGTATGCATTTAGTGTGTATGCGTGTGCGGTAATAATTATTTGAAAATGTCATCATATAATGAGTATGAAAATTTTTTTTTTTTTTTTTTTTTTTTTTGTAAATAGTTTATATATTTGACCGATTTTTCAGTTTCAATATGAATAAAATCGATGTCATGACATGAATCGGGTTGGTTGATTTTATGCAAAATTGAATAAATTTGAATTTTTTTTTATATATGCATTGATGATGATTCAACAATATAAACCGGCTAACCATGGTAGAGTGAAAAAATTGGCTCGAATTTATCAAAAAAAAAAAAAAAAAAATTCGTCTTTCTTTTTCCACTGTTAATCCATTCCCATTAACAACAATGATTTATTATCCATATACATGAAAAATTATGATTACGAATATGCACATGTTAATCATATAACGGATCTTTGTTTTTTTTCAACTGGTTAAAAAAGTTGCTAAACATGATTAGTAGCCAAACTGAATTAGTAGTAGTAAATTTTCAACCTCGAAATATGTGTTGTTGTTGTTGTTGAATCAATTTAATTTATATTTTGACATCGAATCGCTTGGCAACCATAATCATTATCATCATCATCATCATCCTAGGCAATCAAAAAAAAAAAAAAAAATGAAAAATTTTGGCCATTTATATGCATGTTCCACTTGTAAATCGTTGCTTTGTTGGTTAGTAAAAAAAAAATTTATTTATTCTGGATAATTTCGATTGAAAATGGCCAGAAAATAAAAAAAAATGAAGGTAAAAAAATGACACACGACACATAATCATCGCGATATTATTATCATCGTCATCGTCGTCAAAAGAAAAACCTTTCGACCCGATTATTTGTTCGTATTTCTTATTATTGTTTGACATTGGACTGAAAAACACACACACAAAAAAACATTCGGTTGCCGAATGGCAAAATAATCATTTATTCATTGTGATCGATGAGATTATTATTTTCATAATCAAAATAACAAAAAAAAACTATACATATTTATTGTCAAATCAAATGGATCGAGAGACCAAATTCAAACTACTGTTGTATGTACGCGTGCATTCCATTGCCATCGTATGATGAACAAATGAACGAACGATGAACTAACAATCGATGATGACAAAACTAATGAATTCAATCAGGTATATAGGAAATTGAAATGATTGAATGAAATAAAAAAAAAAAAACAAAAACAAAAAACTAGCCAAAGCCATTGACATCAATGATGATGATGATCATCATCATCATCAGAAAAAATGAGGAAGGTGATTGTTGTAAAATTGAAAGAATCAAACAAAACAAAAAACTAGAAAGTTTGTTTGTTAATTTTTTTTTCACTTCATGTTTTTTTTGTATACGATTTTTGTCTTTTCGGCCAGAAATCCTTGTCCTCAATTATGAAATTTGTTTTTTTTTCACAAGAGTTGCATATAAATATATACAAATTACAAGCCATTGGTAAACAAATAAACAAACAAATAAAATCTGAAATTTTACCGTGAAAGAGAAAGTGAGAGTCTGTTTTTTTTTGGCGATTGTAATCATCGAATTTGTAATTTTTTTCCCATTCATTCATTCATTTCATTTCATTTGTTGTCATTCACCGTTCTTGGCCATCAAATCGATCGTTGACTTTTTCTTTCAAATTATCGATATTATTTTTTTTTTGCATTAGTAGTAAATTAAAAAACAAAACATTGATGATAATAAAATGAATTTTTGAGAAAAAAAAACAATTGCAAAAAATTATTTCATCATCAAATAATAAAATTATAATTAATAGTAAAATAAAATTTTGATGATTCACAAAATATTCGAATTTTAAACAAAACAGAATAATTATCAAGAACGTGGCGACATCTTTTGTCATCAAAAATAATTGTTTTTTTTTTATTTAGAAAATGAAATTTTTTTTTGTTGTTGCAATAAAAAACATAAATAATTGAGGATAATTGATGAAAAAATTAATTAATAAAGTTTTAAATGCCCAGTAACTTGATCAATTAATGAACCTTTTGCTGGTCCTATTGCAATGGCAGTTCTCGTACCGCTTTCTATTTGTGTTCGTCCAGCATCCTGTATTAGAACGCTAATTAGGCCATTTTTTCGTGCATTATGCATAACATCCAATAATTCTTTTTCACTATCCACTTTTAGTACAACTTTACGTTGACCACATTCAGACCATTTTTTCATCAAATTTGTTGATTTTCGGGCTTGTTTATAAGCAAGAACCTGGATATATAAAAATGAGAAAAAAAATTAATATTTGAAAACAATGAAAAAAAAAAAATAAGCAATACGAACAGCAGCATGAGAACATTGTGCACAGGCTTTTCCTTTGCCCATTTTAAGATCATTTCGTATGACCATAACCATTTTATATTCTTCATCACCACCGGTAGCATTTGATGTGCATGATGAATCCATCGTATCCACGATGGCAATCACTGATGATCGAACAAATAAATTTCTAACAAATATACCGAGCGTAAAACCGATACCGAAACCAGTGAATATTGAAGCTAATCCTTTTGAGACAAACACTTGTGGCAAATCAATCATTGTCGAATGCAAATGATGCAATCAAATAATAATCCAGGAACAGAAAATTTTGAAAAAAAATCCTCAAAAAAAAGAATTTCATCATACATATACAATGACCACTCATAAATGACATGATAACTGTGATAATATTATTGTGTTATATCATCATGAAATTCTATTTTTTCCATTAATCGTATTATTTGAGGAAAGAATTTCCATTCTCATAATTTTTTTTAATAATTTCAAAGTTAATTATCAAATGGAGAATTCATCTTTTAAAAATATTATTATTATCCACAAAACGATGATGAGTCATTTTTTGTAACATACTTTATGAATGTGATTATTGAATCTGAATTGTGGTGGCCACAATATTGTATCCAATCATCATCATCATCATCATTATATGAAGCACTGCACATTTTCACTTCAGTTCATTCATGTTCATTGGTGTTTTTTTTTTTTTATTGTTGGATCTTTTGCGTTTGATTTTGCCGGACAATTATATTAGAAAAAAAACCACGAGGAGTGTGTGTGTGCTTGAGTTTATATTTTTTTTTTTTTGGTTCTTTCGTTGTTTCATGTTCACACAATTACCCCTGAATACATTATCAACGATAATTAATAAAAATCGATTTTCTTTGCCATTTTCCATAACATTCGTATTGTTTGATTTCGAATCTTTTTGTCACCTGCTTTTTTCTAAAACAACCATTTGCCTAGCTCATTATAATTTTACATCGTATTCATATAGCAAACATAAAATAACCATTTTTTCCATTCATCATGACTTCGATGTAAGTGAATCTGTCAAAATTTTTTGTTTTTAAATTTGTCATATACTACATTTATTTATATTATTAAATTACAGACCAGCACCATTAAAATGGGCCCAACGTAAAGATTTGGTTTATTTGAATTTTCAAGTTCAAGATGTAGTCAATCCTGAAGTGGTGGTTGAAAAGGATAAAATCATCTATAGGTATTTATTTATATTGATGATTTGAAACAATTTGTTAACCATCATTATTATTATTGATTATTGTAGAGCGGAAACCAAAGATAAACAGAAATATGAATCCATATTGAATTTGTATGGTGAAATTAAACCAGAGGAATCAAAATGGATCAATCGAGATCGTGGTGCGGAATTCGTATTGATCAAAACTGAATCCGGACCATATTGGAAACGTTTGTTGAAAGAAGATACTAAATATCATTGGCTCAAAGTTGATTTTAATCGATGGAAAGATGAAGATGAAAGTGATGATGAAGCTGGTGGTGGTGGTACAAATTTCGAAGATGTAAATATCTAATGTTATTACTGTAGTCAAAAGACAATAAAATAATCATTTTATTTTTTTTAGATGATGAGACAAATGGGAGGTCTAGGAGGTGGTATGGGCGGTATGCCAGGAATGGGTGGAATGGGCATGCCAGGAATGGGTGGAATGGGTATGCCAGGCATGGGTGGAATGGGTATGCCAGGCATGGGCGGAAATTTCGACGATCTAGAAGATGTATGTTGATTTATTTTGGTGTTTGTTGAAATTCTAATTTTTTTCTCTTTCTAAAATCTTTTTTACAGGATGAAAAAGATAGCGATGATGAAAATATTCCCGATCTAGAAGATGGTGATGATGCTAAAAAGAATGGCGATGATAACAAAAATTCTAATAAAGAATAGTGTTGATGGCCATTTACTATTCACATTTGAACCAGAAACAGTTATAATGTCCTTTCTATTCCTTGTTTTTTTTTCTTTCGTAATACCACTATGGAAAAAACAAATGACACTGAATCAATGTTTCATATTCATTTTCAAATATTCTGTCATTCTTTTTTTTAAATTTAAAACAAAACAAAAAAAAACTACCCACAATTATAAACCTAGATACACTTACCCACACATATATACACACACACACATAAACCCTAAAATCAGAAAACACCTTTTTTCATATACCTTTTTAATTTGCAATTTCCTTCATCATCACCACCACCACCACCACCCTCGTTCCCAGTGGACTAAATGTTGATCATGATGAAATATTTGTCTCTTTTTGTATGTGTGTGTGTGTGTGTGATGAAAATTTGCAACAACAAACAATATATAAAAAAAGTTTGATGATTTTCAATAAAATTAACAAACTTAATGGATTTTTTTTCGGTGTTGTTAATTTTTATTCATTAAAAAAATTCTATCAAACATAAAAAAAATATGGAAAAGGTTTAAGATTGACCGACAATAAAAAAAAATACAGTTCAATATAATACTTGATTGTTGAATATCGTATGTTTGGAAAATCATAATTTAATTTGTAACGATTTTTAAAATCGGAATTTTTAAAAAAATTGAATGATAAATTCCATGATTATCATCTATTCTATCTGCCCGGATTATGTGGATCAACAATATAATGATCATTGAAATCTTCACCTTTATCATTACAATTGATACAATTTCCGATTGGTATGCCGCTCATACAACACGGTGGATAACGAATCATGACCGGAATATCAACCATAACAAGCGATTGCATTACATTTACATCTGGTTTAACGGTTGGTGAATCATTTTTATTTCCATGTTGTTTGTTAGCTGTTGAACAAAGTTCTGGATTCAATGAACAATGAATCTTACGACGCAATATCAAGTATTGATACAAGCGATGATTATTACCACTATAATTCAGTGAAATAAAAAAAAAAGTTAGAACAAAACGGATATTTTATCGACATCACCAACCTTTGTGATTGATCTTGACCATCATTATTTCGAATAGCAAATTGTGGTGCAGCCTTCGAATCATTCGGAATGATGGTCATTGTGATGATAGTAATTGTGACCAAAAGTGATAGAATGGTCATAATTGTTTGTTTTGAGAAATAATTCAGAAAAAAAAATCAATCATACACAAAAAATGAAAGCAAAAATTATATCGATTAAAATATGAAATCACAAAATAACGATAAGACATATTGATAGGTGGCCCATTATATACGTTGGAAACCAAAAAACCAGAAAAAAATTGTTCCATGTCATAGACATGGATTTTTTTCTCAATGTTTTTACATTTGATTGACGTATATATGTTTTTATGAGAAAGAGATATATAGAGTAAACGTACAGAAAATTTGATTAATCTTAATCACCATTCCAACAACAAATAATCAGGCTTCAAGATTGCAATTCCGGTTAACGACAGTATCAACGACCCAAAAATGGTATGAATTCTTCTTCTTCTAACAACAACAACAACAACAACAAAAAAACAACAGAAAAACTGGTATCAATTTATCAATAATCAGCATCTTTATTTACTTAAATATCCAATCAATCAAATTTTTATTCAATTGGGCACATTGAATTGGTGTTTTTTGTTACCATTGTTTCATTATATAACAGATTTGTGCACACACACACACACACACAAATAAATCTCAACATTGATTTGTTATCAAGGAATTCTTTTATTATGCCGACAAAAAAAAATTTCAAGTGTATTTAGCCTGTGTGTTTGACCAAAAATGGATGTTTCGTAATTACAATTTAATCATTGATTGATCTTATTTTTTTTTTTTTTTTTGCCACGAGGTCAAATTTTTGTTGTTTTTGTTGTTGTTGTTGTTTTTTAATTTTTCATATGACACTAGCATATATAATAAATAAAAATATTGACCTTAAAATTTGCCACGCACACACACACACACATAAACACTCAAAACAATGAAATGATAATGGAATTATGGTGGTATACCAAAATTTTGTTGCAAACAAAAACAACATTTGATTGATTGATTGATTGATTACTATTATCTATTTGGGAGAAAAAAAAATTCCAATCAACAAGCGAAAAAGTGTTAAATTATTGATTAAAATTAACAATTTAGAAAATCACTGCTGATTAAAAATTTGATATGATTTCAAGTGTTTGATTAATGATATGGATCATTATCATATAGAATTTGACTACATCTACCTAATATTTAATATTCGAAAATTTTGGAAAAAAACCTGGCCTGGAAAAAAACGATTACCTTTACATTGCCATTGAAAATGAATCAAGGAATTTGTATCGGATCAATGCTAATGGGTTTTTTTTTGTTTGATTTAATCATTTACATGCATGTACATTTTTTTTTTTTTTTTTTGATCAATAAATCGATCAAATCAAAAAAACAATCAAAATAAAATTAACAATCATGAATTTTTTTCGGTGTTGTTGATTTTTATTCATTAAAAAAAATTTTATCAGACAGAAAAAATTATGGATAAAGTTTAACATTGAACAAATCAAAAGAATCGAAACACAGTTCAATATAATACTTGATTGTTGATTATTGTTTGTTTGGAAAATCATAATTTAATTTGTAACGATTTTTAAAATAGGATTTTAAAAAAAATTGAATGATAAATTTCATGATTATCATCTATTCTATCTGCCCGGATTATGTGGATCAACAATGTAATGATGATTGAAATCTTCACCTTTATCATTACAATTGATGCAATTTCCGATTGGTATGCCGCTCATACAACAAGGTGGATAACGAATCATGACCGAAATATCAAACATAAAAACCGATTGCATTACATTAACATCTGGCTTAACGGTTGGTGAATCATTTTTATTTCCATGATGTTTGTTAGCTGTTGAACAAAGTTCTGGATTCAATGAACAATGAATCTTACGACGCAATATCAAGTATTGATACAAGCGATGATTATTACCACTATAATTCAGTGAAATAAAAAAAAAGTTAGAACAAAACGGACACTATTTATTGACACTACCAACCTTTGTGATTGATCTTGACCATCATTATTTCGAATAGCAAATTGTGGTGCAGCCTTCGAATCATTTGGAATGATGGTCATTGTGAGGATAGTAAATGTGACCAAAAGTGATAGAATGGCCATGTTTTGAGAATCATTCAGAAAAAAAATCAATCATACACAAAAAAAAAATTATATTAATTAAAACATGAAATCACATAATAACGGTAGGACAAATTGAAAGGTGGCCATTATATATGTTGGAGACCAAAAAAAAAAAAGAGAAAAAAAATCATTTTTTTTTGCCACAGACATGGATTTTTTTCTTAATGTTTTTACATTTGATTGACGTTTATATGTTTTTTTGTGAAAGAGATAGAGAGTATACGTAAAGAATACATAAAAAATTTGATTAATCTTAATCGTCATTCCACAAACAAATAATAAGGTTTCGATGATGCAATTTCGGTTAACGACATTATCAACGCAACCCAATGAATTTTTCTTTTAACAACAACAACAACAAAAAACTGGTATCAATTTATCAATAATTAGCAAATATTCAATCAATCAAATTTTTATCCAAACTGGACACATCAAATCCGTGTTTTGGTTTTTTTCCGTTTCGTTTTATATAACAAAACACTTGAAACAATGAAATGAAAATGGTATGATGGTGGTCATAGTAAAACAAAAACAACATTTGATTGTTTTCAATATCTATTTAGGAAGAAAAATGTGAACAACTGAAAAAATGATAAATCAATGATTAAAATTAACAATTTAGAAATTTGAAACTGCTGATTGAAAATTTGTTATGATTTCAATTGTTGGATTAGTGTATGGATCATTAACATATAGAATTTGTCTACATCTACAAAATAAAGTGATTGAATATCAGGAAATTTTAATCCACACACAAACAAAAGGTGTAAAACCGTGATTATAGATCCATGGATTAGATTGGTGACGCGTTATATTCATGTGATTTTGATGTTGTTTTTTTTGCTTATTTTAATTACATTGAGAATGAAAAAAAGTGTAACATTTTTTTTGTGTTTGTGTCTGTTGAATAGGCGGCGAATCATTTATTTTTATGGCCAATAAATCGATCAAATCAAAAAAAAAAAAATCAAAATTCGGTTGGAATCGTTCTTCTGTTGGATATTTTTACTTTAGGTGGAAAATTCAGGAAAAATTCGAATCATTTTTTGAAAAAAAATTCTGTGTGACGTCATTTATGAATTTTTGAGTTGTTTTTTTTCGAATAAATCAAGTGATCATGATCAATAAGAATTTTTTTTTCGTTTAATTTTGAAAATTTTGACAACACAATGAAATTTGAAATGAACAATGGGAATAAAATTCCAATCATTGGAGGTATGAGAGAAAGAGAATGAGAAAAAAAATCAGATTTTATGTAAATTTTTTCTTTATTTCTATAGTTGGTACCTATCTAATGAAAGATGAACATGAATTGTCCCAAATTATTGGCGAATCATTACGAATCGGGTACAGGCTTATCGGTTAGTATACATCTCGTATAGCTAAAATTTGTGTATGTAATCCTTTCGTTATTTAAAAATAGATACCGCCGCTGTTTATCGTAATGAAACGATAATTGGAAAAATTATTTCCAATATTTCGTCGTACAATCTGAATAGAGATGATATTTTCATTACGACAAAATTAAGTCCAGCTGATCAAGGTCGTGATAAATGTAAAAAAGCTATTATGGATTCACTTGAACGTTTGAAATTATCCTACATTGATCTTGTATTGATACATTTTCCTGGTAGTAGTCGATCAACACCTAAAAGTCCAAAAAATCCTGAAAATCGTCGTGGAAGTTGGCAAGATCTGGAAGAATTACAGCAAGCAGGAATTGTGAAAAATATTGGCGTTTCTAATTACACTATAAGACATTTAGAAGAACTTTTCGGTTATGCTAAAATCAAACCCGTTGTCAATCAGGTAAAGATTTTGGAACCAATGAATCAAATGATATCTAATATGTTTATTGATTTGTATCTTGTAGATCGAAGTACATCCATTGTTTCATTCAAAAGAATTGATTGATTTTTGTAAAAAACATTCCATCATAGTGCAAGCTTATTCATCACTTGGAGCTCGTGATGGTTGGCCAATTTTATCGACAAATTTGACGTTGAAAAAAATGGCCCAAAAATATGAGAAAACTGTTGCACAAATTCTACTCAAATGGGCTTTACAACATGATTTATGTATGTTTAATTTTTGTCGATTTTGTAATTTTCGTATTCTAATAATCATTATTTTTAAAATTAGGCATCATACCGAAAACATCCAAAGTTGAGAGATTGAAATCTAATTTTCAAATTTTTGATTTCGAATTATCCATCGAAGATATGGCCCAAATTAATGGATTAAATGAGAATCATAAATTCTGTTGGGATCCTGAACCTATTCTTTGAGTCATCCACTATTTGAATAGTGCCTTTGTTTTGGCAACATATGACCAAAACACACACATGTGTTATGAAGACGCGAATTTTAAATTTGTATGAAGTTTTTTTTCTGAAAAAAAAATAAAATAAAATGATTCAATTGAAATAAAATTATTTGATTGAACATTTGCAACGAATAAAAAAATGTCTAAAATCGGTAAAATATTTCAAACACTGAGAAATCATTGGAAAAAGAGCATCTTTTTCACCGGTCTGACTGTTTGGGGAACCCATTATGGATATGGAAAATATTTAGAATTCAATTTAATGAAAGCCTATTGTCAAGAAGCTTTGGTAATGTTAATTATGATGATGATAAAATTGATTCATTGTTTTATATTCTGTAATTTATAGAAATATGGTGAAGAAAAAATTGGTCCAATGGAAACAGCTCGTCATGTGACTGTATTATTGAATCCAGTGGCTAATAAACGAAAAGGAAAAGCTGATTATGAAAAATATTGTGCTCCATTATTTCATTTGGCTGGCTTAAAAGTTTCATTGGTAATAATCGAAGCTGAAGGACAAGTGAAAGACTTGATGGAAATTATGGATAATACTGATTGTGTTGTTGTGGCCGGTGGTGATGGTACCGTTCATGAAGCAATCACCGGTTTATTAAGGCGAACAGATTCATCGGATGCCATACGAAGATTTCCAATTGGCATTCTGCCTATTGGAAAAAATAATTCTATATCTTATAAATTGAATTCACAAATCTATGATCCCCGAAAGGATAAAAAGCAAAAATTCTTGCCGAAAGTTCCATGGCTGTCATAAGACAAACATTCAATAATGTTGATGTAATGAAAATCGAAGGTGAACGTGGTCGGCCTGTTTATTCGATTGGATTCATGAATATTGGCCAATTACAAGATGTGCTTCGTAAAGTTGACCAGTATTGGTATCTAGGACAACGAATGAAACCATATTTGGCAACGTTTTTCCAATCATTTAAAAATTTAGCTTCACAATGGGATGATAACGAAGAAATATCCATAGAATATACAAAACCATGTACAGGTTGTTCCAAATGTTTTCAAAGATATGAAACGGATTCAACAAAACCAGAAATGGAACCAATATTAAAATCCAGTAATAAACGTTGGTGGCATTCATTCATGCCATTACCAAAACAGACACCACCTGTTATTGATCCAGTGGCTGAAGCTAAAAAACGTTTGATTGAAACAATGAAAAATACTACAAACGATGATTGTGATAAATGGGAAACAGTTAAACTCAAATCCAAAAACATTTTAGTTGAGGATACATTTAATAATTCAATACAATTGACCATTCATCCTGCAGATATGGATCGAATGTCATTCATCCAAGAAGGGTGGGTATTTTATTTACTAATTAAATTGATAAATTAATCTATCAAATCCCAAATTTAGAGCTCGAATGTATCGAAACGAATCACTCGAAAGTGGTACAGTGATCCAAACTAAAGACTGTCGAATTCAAACAATGTTTGACGATGACAAACCTGTGGTTTCTCATTTCAAATTGGTCGATCAAATCAAACAACACAGACCAAATGCAATCAAAGAAATTGATGGAGATGACAACCATGTCGTTGATCAAACGGAACAAAACATTCAAGATCCTGATAATGATGATAATGATGTTGGCAATGTTGATGAAAATATTGGATGGATATCCATCGATAATGAATGCTATGAATTGCCATCAAAATTTAAAATTAGCCTCCTACCTCGAAGTGTCCTTATTTATCATCATCAAATCATGAATCAAGGATAAATCCTTTATCTGAAAAATTCAATGATGATTTTCCAATAATCGATTTTTAGTCTGTGAAAAAAAAAAATTTTTTTTTTTTTTTCTTATAATCAACAAATGTTTACAACAACAATTATTCACGCGTTTCATATGTGACAATGATGATGATGATGATGATGATGATAAAGATATTGAATTGAATGGTGTGAATCAAACAAACAAAAAAAATGACAAATGAAAGATTTACAATTTTCTTCTCTGAATTTATTGTGTTACCAACAACAACCATTGTTATTGTCGATTGGTTATGGATAACAACAAAAAAAATCCCATATTCATAATCATATCGAATCATCATTTATAAACAAATGAAAATTTTCCTTTTTTTTCTGATAATTGTTAATTTGAAAGTTTTCAACATAATCAATCATCATTGATAATTATCATTCATAGCTCATAGATTCTTAGCCCAAAATGATTTTTTTTTTTTTGTTTCTTAACCGGATATCCACACAAGTAAAGATGATAAATTGTTTGTTTCATTTTCTATTTTTTTTCACAAATGAAAAAAAAATTGAATCTCAATAACAAAAAACAAAATTTTTATGTGTGTGTGTGTGTGTGTTTGTGTGTGAATCGAGTAAAATACACTGAAAAAAATGAATCTAAATTTAAACAGGTAGGCATACAAAAGGTGAATAATAATAAAATTTCAAGATGAGCAAAAAGTGTAATGTAATCTAGTGTGTGTGTGTGTGTATGAGTGTATCGAATGTGGATGTCATGTTACACTTGAGTTATTTGGTTAATAATGATTAATCATCATCATCATCAACAACAACAACAACAACATTGCCGAAATCCATTGAACATGATTGTTGTCTGTGTGTGTGTGTGTGTGTGTGTGTCTGCATTCTATTTTTGTGATACATGCATCCATGGATTTTGTTTTTTTTCACTCTGGCCGTCTTGAACGGAAATTGTTTCATTGTCTTTTTGGATATTTTAATGATGAATATATTGAAATAATGCAAAATACATTAACAATCAACTCTTCATAATTAATTTTCAGAATGAATTTCGTAATGAGAACAAGAAAAAAAACAACATTGAGTCAAAAGAATTGAAATTGGCCAAAAAAAAACAAAGACTTAAGGCTGATTGATTAATTAATTAATTGATTAATCAATATAAAAATAAAAACTGAATAACGATTATCGGAATGAAATGAAACGAATTGAATTGAATTCATCGATTAAGGGACGATGTGGAAAGAAGAAAAAAAAGAAAGAAATTTTATGATTTTCAAAACAAAACAAAACAAAAAGGTCACTCTATATTGAATTTTTCGTTTCAATTGTTCTGTTCTTAATCTTCAGAGCCATTTTCTTGGAACACACACACACAATTAAACAGGCAGACAAACACAAAAAAAAGAAAATTCAGACTGTCCATAAACTTGTTTTAAGATTTATTTAAATGATCATCTTCCAAGAAGTCGGAACAATAATTTTTTTTTTTTTTTCCATATTGACAGATGATTTGTGAGAGAAAGAGAGAGAAAAAAAAACAATTTTCAGATTGGAAATTCTTGATAAAAATGAAATAATTCTACGATTGTGATTGAGGAACCCTGTGATCAAAGAAAAAAAAGAACCAACCACAACCATCATTTCCGTTGTGTCAAAAGTATTGGAAACATTGCAACAAGTGAATCATTCTTGTTTTCCACATTTGTGCAATGATATATATCCATATTTGTTCAATATATCCAAAAATGCGGAACTGATGATGTAACAAAAAAAAAACACATAATCTTAAAATGATGATTTAGTTTGAATCAAAGCTACTTATCTTTCTAGGCAATAAGGGCTAGATACACTTCCTATATATGATTGAATGAATCAATGAATGAATTTCGTTTCTGTTTGTTGTTTGTTTTGTTTTCATCAGGATGACCAAAATTTTATTTAAATTTTTTTGTTCCTCTGTTTTTATCATTGCATATTGCCATTATATTATGGTTATTTGAATAATATTTCAATCATTTCATTTTCTTTCAAAGAAAAATTCATAGCAGGGATCTTCTTGAACACACACACACACACACACACACACACACAGACACAGTTAGAAATAAATAAATTTTCATCATTGACACAATGATGAATGGTCTTTCAATTCAAATTTTGTAGAATGAAATGAATTTTCATTTTCCATATTTTTCCATATAACATGAAAAAACATAAACTTTAAACTTGTCATTTAAAGAGAAAACAAAAATTTGTTCCAAGAAAATTGTTACTTCAATTCAGAGTTCATTATTGGAATGATTTTTTTTTTGCTTTCGTTTGCTCACAATGAAATTAAGATGAATCTTTAATCATAAATCTTTTGAAACAACAACAACAATATTGTTTGTTTGTCCAGAAATGATTCAATCTCATCTACACATCATGTTTGGCCAGTGCAAGACCACACCAAACATTTGAAACAATTGAATGATTGAACATTTGAATTGTGGAAAAATTGAAAAGATTTTAATGTTTTTTTTTCATTGCTAAAAAAATGGATAAATCATCAAATCATGAATGTCATGTTGATCAAGATCAAATAACATTAATTATCATTAAAAATTGAATTAATATTCTATCGTCTGTTGACGAAGGATTAGAAAGAGAATGGAAAAAAACGTGCAATGTTTGAATATCAAATATTGCAAATTATGGTAATTATGGGCGATAATTTATAATTCATGAAATTAATGGCTCTTTCAATGAAAATTCATCTCAATAATAAAAAATTATTCATCAGTAATATGTTGTGTGTTCGAATGATGATAACTAACTAATAACAGGTTGTTGGTTGGTTGGATTTTTATTTTTTTACGATAAATTTCGTCACCTATTTCATAATTCAAAATTCAAATTAATCATGACCTTCTGGAACAAGTTATTAGCCTATCAATTTTCACCTAAAAAATAATTTACAGAATCGACATTGGCAATCACAATTCGACAATTAAACGAGAAAATTCTTTTTTTTCTCCACTAAAAATAATTGGATTATTTTTAATCGAATCTCAATTCATTGATCACGAAGAATGATGAAAAAAGTTCATTGAATTCATTTTGCAATGAGCAATTGTGTGTGTGTGTGTGTCTGCGTGTCTGTGTGTGTGTGTGTTTTCATCATTGCTAATTATATCTCGCACTAAAGAAAAAAAATGAATAGAGTACAATCTAATAGAAATATGAAAATTAATCTTTGCATTTACACAAAACACACAGGTAATACAATGATGATGATGATGATGATGATAATGATGATGCCTTAATTGTCTTTTTCCAACAAAAAAAAAAAAAAATACCTCGAAAATTATTTTAACCAAACACAATGAAAATTGGGCAACCTGGCCGACAACCAAACGACATTGGTTTGAACCAAATTAATCGGGCAAAACAAAACAAAATAAAAATAAAAACAAACCCAACCACCACCACCATCATCATTATTATAATTTCTAAATGAATGAAAAAAAACTATATATCCCATTTAAATATAATGATCATTTTAATAATGATGATGATGATAATGATTTTAGCCTTTTGTGTTACATTGTATTGTATTTATATATATATAGGGTGACATTTATCCATTATATTTGTATTTGGTTAAAGGTCGACCATTGTCTGAGGTGTGTGCCAAAGGTCATGTGCACTTTATATACACACTATGGCCATATGTATGATATAATCATCGTTGATCGGTCATTTTATGATGATGATGATGATCATCATCATCATTAATCTATCCATCTGGATAATAATAAATTGAAAATATTAAACGTTAATAATAATAATGATGATGATGATGATCGATCAATGAACTATTGTTTGTGGTTTTTTTTTCTCTGAAAAAAAATAATAAAAACCGGATATCAATTACCGATAAACCAGACAACACTGGCTTAGGAATTGATGATCGACCAATAAATCAACAATGTTGATCATGTTTGATGTCGTCATAGTTATTGTTGATAATGATGATAATAATTTTGATGATCGACATTCAACCATCACAAATAATAAAAAAAAAAAAAAAAGGTAAAAATCAAACCCGAAACAAACAAAAAAAAACAACCGAGGTAAAAAAAAACCAGCCAAATCAACTATATATCAAACAATAAACAACAACAAAAAGTCAAATATAACAACAGGTAACAATGACAACGATCATTGCTAGTCGATATTTGCGTGTGTGTGTCTGTGTATTCGTGTTTGTTGTTTGTGTCTGGTTCGTTGGTTTGATTCAAAATATACAAATGAATGGTTTAGCTTTACACTTGAACTTGAAGTCAGGTTTCAGGTTCCTAGCGATTTTTAATGATGATTGTTGTGGCATCTAAACTCGTTAATACAACAACAAGCGAATCGGTTGTTGTAGAGGGTTATAAATAAGAGTGAGGGATGAGGGATATATTGAAGTTAAATTGGTTTTTTTTCAAGAATTCAGGTTCTATCGAAAAACAAAATGAATCGAACGAAGAAACTCGTTCATTTAGAAAAGCCTAGCCTCTACTGATGATGATGTTGATGATTTGTTCATCATACACATCTACTATCGACAATAGTAAGCGAAAGCATAATTACGTAACGATGAATTGTCGACATGTTGACACGCCTGCCACTTTCGAATTGAATTTTTTTTTTATTTTATATTTTTCATTTTGAAAAATTCAATCGGTAGTGGCAATGTGGAAAAAAAACACGTTTATTTTTTTTCAGCCAGTTTCCATGTGTGTCCAGTTTAGTTTAGTTAATAATCGAAAACGAAAAACACCACTACCTATGTATAATAATGATGATGATGATGGTGGAAAATGGTTGAAATCGTCATTATCATTGTTTAAATTGAAAGTATACGAGAAAAAAAAATGACTAACAAATAAGAGATGTGAATACGAGAAAAAAAAACTGGCGTTTCCACTTTGTATTATATATATATATTTGTTATATAACGAGAATAATGATGATGATGATGATCAAGCCCCATAAGGTAATAGCATGCGCGAATGTTTACATCCGTGGGCCACGCACACAC